CTACTAGTGGCTCCTGGCCTTACTACTAGGAGCAAGGACGCTACTAGGGGCTCCTGGCCTTACTACTAGGAGCAAGGACGCTACTAGGGGCGGATTGAGGAGAATCTTTGTCACCAATTTCACTCGGTCTCCAAAACGGGTCCCCAGGCTCCGACTGCCAGGCTCCGCGGGTGCCAAGGCACAAAGCTTCGCATCAACACACTGGAACTTCTCCGGAAAACAGTCCTGGCAATCCGGCACCGGCTCACTCAGCGGCCTTCGAGCGGAGTGAGCCGAAGCACCTTCCTTGAGTGAGCATTCTGCGTTTCGGAATTCCATGTTTCGGCATATAGAGGCTATCCTTGAGCCTTAAATCCATCCCAAAAGTAGTCAATTCGGACCACCTTACGAAAGAATATCGACCAATCTTTGCGAACTCAGTCCGAAGCCGGGAGCACCCGCCTCCTCGGTTAAGAGCTCCACGGGACGAGTGATGCGGAAGTCATCATCGAGCACTGCCAAGACAATCACATTGGAGATGCCCAGCTGTGCACGTGCATCGCGCGTGCCGCGTGCCGCGTGCAGAAGACGTGCCGAGCCCAGCAGTTGGAGAGTAGGGCCTACTAGGGTGCTGGGATTCACCTCTGGAGCCTTGAACTTCCTTTTCACTTTGCAAGCGACCTTGATGTAGTGGGTGGTGAGTATGGATGGTGAGCCGCTTGACCTACAAGTGAGGTGACCAAACAGGGTTCCGAAGCCAGCACTCGGCAAACACGCTAAAGGTTCCTTTGGCTCTGAGGGGAGTCATGCCTGCCCGGCCCGCGATGGTAGGCACTGGGTGGGAAGAAAGACTGGAACATGATTTCTCATTTGTTGAATTTGTTGAGTTGGAACCTCTAACCTCTCACAGTACAGTTTCTCCTATGATAGGTCACCCGGGGCCTTGTTCGCACAGACCTCACGAAGGCCTATTCCCTGGCGTTGTCGCCATGAAAAAAGATTCAAACTTGGAAACCCTTGGAAACTTGGAAACTGTGTGAGAACCGTATGACATGTATGCCTTTGAAGATTTGCCAGTTTTGGCGAACCAAGTGTGATGGTAAAACTGCATCCCGCTCCGAGGTTGACGGCTTCCCAAGTCCTTGCTAGCTGATTGTTGAGGAAACCCAAACTGCTTCGATACCTCTTTTGGTGCTTGCTTGTAAGCAAACCATACAACAAGTTTTGTGGAGCCAAACTTCCTGTCAAGATCCGGAAAAGACTTAAGTCAGTTCATGATAGTAGTAACAAGAAGCTATTAGAAACAAGTGCATCGCCTTCCACATCCTTCCACTAGCTTCCCCACGGAAGGCGCCCCGCCGGAGCACAGTTCGGGTAAAGCTCTGCAGAGGCTTCCATGTGCCGGAAGGCGGCAAGCCACCTCCCAGTGAAGAGCCCTCAAACTCCCGCAGTTTTCCAAGGAAAAACTTTGGCGGTTTGGAGCAAAAGCAGAAGTGGGCTGTTCATGCTGTTCTCCTGTGTTCTGCCAAAAAATGAGAGGTGTTGAATGCATGGATTCTGCTGGAAGCGTCTGCACCTTTCATCTTCATGCCGCTTCCAGGCGTTCGGCAGTCGCACCAAGGAAGGGTTGAAGAAGGTGAAGTTCGCGTTCTCCTTCGGTGGATTGCAAGGCGCTCAGAAGATTCTACACGGTCTACACGCCCTACCCACAAAATGCAAGGGAGCAGTTGGAAATGGAAGTGTTTATCTTGGGGGAAATGTTGGTTTTGAGCGTGAAAGGTTTTGGATTGATGGACGGGTTTTTGAGCTGTGTTTTTCAACGGATGACCTACCCGGACCCGAACTTGCTTTGACCACGAACGCCATGTTCAACGAAGCCCCGAAGCAGCGCGCCTTCCATGTACAACGAAGAACCATGTTCAAGTGCTGACTCCATCATCTCCATCTCTCTTTTCCAGTGTTATAAGATCTTGACCCCCAAACGCACAACACCAAGTCGTGAGTCTTAGCAGATCTACCACCTTCCAGCTCCTTAACACATGTGATATTGCTTCGCCATGGCCGCGGAGGGAAAAACCTTTTCGTACTTCTGTGGGTCGGAATTCCCGCACGGCGAAGACGGTCTGGTGCGATCCGCATCGGTTTTGGGCCGAAGACGGTCTATCCTTCAAACCCAGGTGATTCCCATATACTAGACTTGACTCCTAGTAGCGTCCTTGCTCCTAGTAGCGATGCCCTTTGCTCCTAGTAGCTTCTTGCTCCTAGTAGTATGGCCAGGAGCCCCTAGTAGCTTCTCGTTACTACTAAACTCGCTAGACCCATAATCTCGTTTCCTGTAGCTCAAAGGACAGTGACAACCCTGACGATTCCAGCGGCCGCCTCATTCCAGCGTCGTTGTTCTAATGATCGCAGCTCGTGGAAGACGGGCCCCGAGTGGTTCCTGGCTACGAAACAATTTGGGACATGAGAGCAAGTGAAACCTAGCTGCCGGATGGTCCCAGAAGAATCGTTTGGCAAGCTAATTCGGATTGATTCGGGTGGTTGGAAAGCCCAATCATACAAACCCACATGACCAGAAGACTCGTTTCTTTATATATTGTGGTGTTTCCATTCTTATTTGGGCCTTTTGCTTCCTTTCCTTGTGTTTCACTCAAAAACGGCCTCCATGATCAGAGTTTCTTGTGCCCATGACGACGCGTTTGTCGGTGGTTATCTGTGTCTTTGACTCACACCCGTCGCTTGTGGGCAGCGTCGCCCCAGACATTCTCTCCGGTGAACATCCCAAAAATCCACGAAGTGTCGGTCCATTGACATCGATCTTTTGCAGTGCATAACATGCAAGTGAGTAGGTGTTGATCCATTATGCATGTTAACATCAATTCCTACTTGCACCCCACCTGTGGATGACCTCCACCGCCACACGCATCTGCCGCTCAGCTTTCGGCCTGTTGCAAGGTCTTGACCAAAATGGCAACAAAAACTCACCACATGTGGAGAATCCAATTGGTTTGTGCCATTTGTTGCCGTTCATTCATAGCTGTCTTAAACCAACCTCAAACATGGCCATGTCTCGGCAAAACTCAAGACACACCCCAGCTGAACCCTTCCAGTGAAGGAAACATTCGTGGGGATAGAGGTGAAAGTGAGATTGTGGTGAGAGGCCAAGCATTTAGTTCACACCAAAAACACACTAGACATGCCATGGTGGGGTGCCACCGGCGCTGTACATTGTGGACCAAACTGGTTGGATGATTGGCAACTCAAAAAACCGTCTAAGGACTTGCATTCAAAAACCGAAAGCAAACACCTCGAGCTCCTTCGACCAAGGTCATATCACCCAAGAATATCAATAGAAAACAAACATGCCGTGCTACAGCTTGGGTTCGTTGTACGGACCCGACACCAGCACCAGAGTGGTGTCAAAAAGCTGTCGCGACTTGTCATACTTTTGCACGTAGTCCAAGCATGCGACCCTTCTCTTGGGTTCGACGAACAAACCTTTTTGGGTTCGACCTGTCCTGTTTCGTCTTTTTGGCCTCAATCGGGTGGCATTCAGCGGCACCTCTAACCTCGGAAACCGGAGGGTGCGAGGTGAACGGTTCGACACAGACAGGGAACGAGAGAGGGAAAGCTCAACATGCAAAAGAATCTGGAACGGTTTGCCAGCGCAAAGTTTAAATGGAGATGCAAATTGCAAGTGACGGGCCTCCGGGGAATTGAATGATTTGGACTTGTCCGTTTGGTCCAAGTGGTCCTTTTTCCCCTGCTTTCCTGGCACTTTCTTTTTGCCTTCAGCTTCCTTAGTCTTTAACCTCCCGTTTCGTCGAAGGGGTTCATGTAGCATACCTCGAACGGGTGGTGCAGCACCCGTTCACACCCTCTCCAGCTCTGAACGTTCGTTGCCAAGTCCCCCCAGCAGAACACGTACCATCAAGCCTAAAACAACAGGAGCCCCCAGTAGCGTCCGTGCTCCTAGTAGTAAGGCCAGGAGCCCCTAGTAGCGCCCTTGTTACTTGTTTTTTTGATTGGGGTTGTTGAGGAGAAACCTTGTCCTTTCCCAGTCTGTCCAGGAAGAACCGGCAAGAAATGAACCATGGACCATTGACCATTGCCAAATTCAAGAATCCAAATTGAAGTGAACTTTTGTGGCAAAACATGCCTGAATGTATATGTTAGGGAAACGGGTAGAGTGTGGTCGGGTATTTTGACTTGTGGTCGGCTCAAGAGCTTAGATTTGGTTTGGAAGATGTTCTCCCTTCGAAGTGAAACAAAACCATCTGAGACATCACCAACAGGAACCCTTTTTGTCCACGGTAAATTCTCCCAAGTCCGAACCACAAACTCCTCGCAAGAAAAAGATGACACCAAACGGTTCCGTTTGTGACTTTCGAATTGATTAAATAAGGTGAATATTGCGTTCATCTCTATTGTGTCGATCATGCACATTATATAGCTTTTTTTGGATATATTCACTCTTTCGACCCCCTTTAAAATTGTACACGTTTCAGGCTGTCCAAATTATATTCATTTGCAAGCATTGCTGGCTATAATTTGGACCCCTTGTAAAATGTACCATTTCAATATCTCCAACGATGCTTGCATCGAGCTGCAAGTAAACATTACTAAACAATTCGAGAAATAGCGTGATGCTAGATATTTCTTTGTTTCATCCACTTCATGCTGCGTTCATCTCTAAGTCTTGTCTCGATCATGCACATCGCATAGTTTATTGCACTTACAAGATCACTCCATTGTTCGACCCCCTTGAACATGTAAAATTTCAGTCAAGGGAGTCGAAGAATAGATCCAACAATGCTTGCAAAATGCAAGTCAGAAACAACTAAACAATGTATCAAAGGGTCCAAAAATAGCATGATTATAGATACTGATACTTCATTTACCCCCTCTCTGAGAGCCACTGGTGCGGGCGGTTGTTGTCGTGAAGCGACCTGAACACATATAACTATTCTGGAAGATTCACACGAATAAAGGACTCAAAGAGAATCCATTCTCCAAACTCGTCCACTTTAGTTACTACTCCTTCACTCCACTCTAACTCCATTCGAGGAGCCAGCTCCCTTTCCGGAACTCTCGCATCCCATCACAGCTCGTCATAGACTTCTCCTCCTCCGTAGGGATGTGAAACCTGGGCTTTTCGTGCAAAAACACTTTTTCGTTCCAAACCGAAGCACTTTTTCTTTGCCACCCATGTCTCGGCTGTGGATCACTCGACTTAAGATTGAAGAAACACTCGACTTGCGAGAGTGAGGCTGAAGGTTGAAAGGGCCACGCTACGAACGGAGCAAAGGGCATCGCTACGAACGGAACAACAGGACGCTACGAACGGGGCTCCTGGCCTCGGCTTGCTGGACCTGTTTGTTGAAAGTTGTTTGTCTTGCACAGAAAACAGATCGCAACCCGGTGGGCCTTGAACTGGAAACTGTTCACTTGGTGAACCGGTTGCTGCTTCACCCGGAGGGTCTGATTCGAACGCAGTGGCCTGTAGAATCAAGTGTCACCACAAAAGGTTTACCGTAGAATCACAGTCATTAAAAAAAAAAATAGATCCTAGTAGCAATGGCCTCCAACCCACAGAACACACAAATCATCCAATAGTGAACCCAATGGGATACTTTGACGATTTCGATGATCAAGATGGAGTCAAAGCACGGCAAGGACGAAACTCTCGCTCGAGAACGCACAGGCTTATTGTGAGTGTCTGGAATGAATTGATGATATGAATTGACCTAGTAGCGTCCTTGCTCCTAGTAGCAATGCCAGGAGCCCCTAGTAGCTTCTTGCTCCTAGTAGTGTCCGCTGGTCCTTGCCGAGCTGCTCCTCCACTGCCTGCAGGTCGAGCACCCGCGGACGTGCGCCACTCGTCGTCCTGGCGGCCACGCGCTGCAGCACCGAGGACCCGCAGGCGGCGGGTCCGGCCGCGGCCGCGGCCGGCGGTATGAGGAAAAGGACGGCAAGGGCGAGCATCGCAAGGCCGGTTGGGCGAGAGGTCCAAGAGAGGCAAAAAGAGGCAAAGAGTAAAGATGATGCGTGAAAATGTGTGCTTGTCCATTAGAAAGAGATCATATTCATTGACTCATTGACTTGACAAAGTGTTTGGAACCACATTTAAGGCTTGCTTCCAGAGTTGGAAAGGGTGTGTGCATCTGTTCTCATTCGAAAGACAAACCTGCTGATGATCACCAGAGTCTATGAATGGTCCAAACAGCGACCACCAATGTAAAGAAAGCTAAGCAAGGAAAGAATATTGAAGCCTATCAAAGCCTTAAAGTAAGGTGTAAGGTGCGTGCCGCCGCTTTTGCGGCTTGAGCCACACAGCATCGAAGAGTGCCCCATCAAAGCCCCTGACTCTCACTGGTCAAGGTTATTAGGAATTGCATGGAATTAGCCGCCAAACCCAATGGCCAGTTTTGATGACTCGTGGCACACTGTTTGCTAGAAGATGCTGTGCGTTGTCTTCCCACCCAGTATGCTGCTGCAATGATTAAGTAACTTGGAGATGGGTCTGTGCCACTTTTCAGGGGGAGTCACCAGCCAGGACGTTCCCACTCACATGGAACGGGAATGAGATGACGCCCCCAACCTGTTGAGTTCACTCTTTGAACTAACTGTCCGTGGGAGGCCTGCAGAAGTTTGAACTGCGCACATAGAAAGAGTATGACCACAAACCATGTTTGTTTGCCTCTTCACCACGGTTCACCCTTTAACTGACTTCAACTGTAACTACACTCAAATTTCACCAATGAAAGGGACGGACGCAGCACGTCATTACTCACACCTCGTCCGTTACAGTGCCACTCCAGTGTTTGCTCTTGTCCAGCATGCATCACTTGTGTTGTGTGAGCATTTCAAGGAAACAATAAAAAAAACCAGGCCTGAGGAATGCTGGCTTGCTTTTCGGAAAACAATGTTCGGTCCTTGACATCCAACTCTATCATAGGCAATCCAACACCAAGGACACCAAAAAAATCCACAAATGATCAGGCTGTTGTAAACTGAGACTGCGTTCCCTTCCTTCGGGCCACGGAGATGTTGGTCACCTTACTTAACCTGAACTAAGTTGGAGGCCATCGCTGGTAGGTTGGAGGCCATTGTTTCTAGATTAGAGGCCATATTGCTATTAGGTTGGAGGCCATCGCTAGTAGGTTAGAGGCCATTGCTATCAGGTTGGAAGCCATCGCTAGTAGATTGGAGGCCATTGCTATTAGGTTGGAGGCCATCGCTATTTGGTTGGAGGCCATCGCTATTGGGTTGGAGGCCATTGCTATTAGGTTGGAGGCCATCGCTAACAGGTTGGAGGCCATCGCTAATAGTTTGGAGGCCATTGCTATTGGGTTGGAGGCCATTGCTATTAGGTTGGAGGCCATCGCTATTTGGTTGGAGGC